CGATCGCCCCCGCTCCGTTTCGCTTCTCGAACGATCGGAAAAAAACTAAATAAACAATCGACAACGAAACAAGCATCCTCGTCAGAGTAGTTTTATCCGTTTGCGCGAAAACTAGAAGACGGTCAGCCAATTGACAGACGTGGATCATCGGGATTAAATATTTTGCAATCGACGGATGATCCTCGACGACGAGGATACGCGTCGCGTGCATCGAAAGAGTTAAACGCCAGCGGTCGGTTCTCGAAATCCAAAGTAACCTCGACGAATCGTGCGTAAAGGCAAAAAGAAGCGAACAGTGTGCAGTAGAATTTATGAAGCACTCGAGCCGTGTCTCACGCGGTGCAGCATACTTTCTGATTTGGAACCGTGAGCTCCACGAGCGCTCGCGCGTACACGCGAACCCTGTACCGGGCATTCTGCTAATATTTTCATGGTTGTCTCCTGCTGCGGCCAAGCCCAGCAGAGGCTGGCTAGCCGCGATTGCTTGTTTTTCGCGATGTAATTGGTCTCTGGTACGGTTCACCGAACGGTCGCAGCTCTTATCGTGGCTCGAACGCGTCCAGATAATGACCCGAATTCACCTCGCTGCTCGTTAATCTTTGCCACGACGATAACGGCCGACTTCGCGTCGCTAATCACCGGTCCCTCGTGTTTTCGGAACGATTCTACGGTTTCTCTTTGCCCCGTTTCGTCCAAATGGCTCTTTGGTCCGCGGGAACGAACGCTTGCCACGCTCCAAGATACTCGGTAGGCTCTTTTCCACTCACCAGTATATTCGAGTTTAGCAGCTGACCCTTTCCACTAAAAGCTACCGGCATTAAATTCTCAACCATTATTTTAGATAGAAGCATGGATTAGTTCGAGCCGGTACACTTCCCGAGTGCACCGGTCGAACTTCGGACTAGCCGAACAAACTTTGTTCGAACAACTGGCTCCGACTAGTTCGTCCATGTCAGTCGATAACGCGGATAAAGAAAAGAACGGACGAAGGAAACAAGAAATTTATTTTACGATTAAACTTAACGACGCGACGTGTCACGACTATGCACCTTGTCGACACAGTACGTCGGGAGAGACATTCCAAGTATTCGATACTATCGCGCACCAAGCTGCTAGTTTCCTTCGTCGATTAACTTAACAGCTGCGACAATTAGCAAGGGATAACGGTATAGAAATCGACTCCGTCGTCACGCGGCACCGAATATCGGAATCGAGTTGTTTCGAAGCAAACGAACGTGTACGCGTTTCACGGTAACCAGATAATCGTTATCGAAGTTAAACGCAACTATCTCTAGGCTAGCGATTAAATCGAACGGAGAGACATAGTTGCACGGAACTGTCGGCTGTAATTTACTAGATCGTTGCACAGGAAATGTCCAATTTACGATTTCGTTCAAAATAATAATCGTTGACGCGAAAAAGCGTTGTGCCAGTCGCCCGTGGTCGCCCTACAAGTAGGGACTCGCCGATACGTAATACCGCTATGTTATTAATGGCACAATAGCGCACTGTTTAGAAAATTAATAATCCTTATCTCGTAATATGCCGTTCTACGTACGATTGGTTTCACGATGGTCATCGACGAATCGATATAACCATCTACTTTTCGAAATGGGCCACTCGATATGTACAGATCTGTTCCTGTCTATCTTTGGCATAGAATCGGTCTAAGTACTTACGTGCCTTCGTGATAGACGAAGATCGTTCGCGTGAAACTCCGAGAGATAAATGCACGACGAGTTGCTAAAACACGCTCGCATTCATGGTCGCGTTATTCGAGACGGTCAGAAAATATTGTTGGAAAAAGTACACGTACATACGATTCGCTTAGAGCGGTAACCACGCAATTTCAAATATAGCTGCGAAGAAGCTACTGATCGAGATCGATTATAGAAAAGATAAAATGACGCATCGTGTACGTCCTGCGCTAGTAAATACCACGCAAAGCAACGTCGCGCGCATCTTATCGGGAGACAATGAAAATTGATAGAGAAACGAGAAAGAAATAAGCGATACGGATTACGATGACGGAGTTGGAAAGGAACAATAACGCGGTCGCTCGAAGAGGTTAAGAGTTTCTTCCCGAGAAACGTTCGAGCTTAGCGTACCGCGGAGAAAGAACCGTTAGGATGCTAAACTTTTATTGCGACCTCTTTTTCCCTGGAAGGTGAACGCGTCCGTTTAGCGTATCGCGAAACGATCGTCGCGTCGCGTACTTTTGGAAGAAAAAATCCGAGTTTCGACGTGGCCGGGTATAGCGATCGAACGGAGAAACGAACGATGGGTGTTTAGCTAGCGTGATAAGTTCGCGTAAGGCGAGGGCCGAACGAAGAAGAGAAAGAGACGGAGAGGCGCGGAGAAACGGAAAGCAGGCGCGAGAGAAAGAGGGAGGAAAAGAAGAACGAGTTGGCAGCATCTATGAACCTATAAACACGCCGCGCGCCGCGCCATGCCGCGCACACAGATCGAACGCAGCCACGGTTGTCGGTCTCGTAACCACGGTACAACGACCCCTGGCCTGCCGTCGAACGCGCCTTCGCGTTAATTGCGATACCCGAACATCGTCAGCCTGTCTCGGACATCGACTTGGAGCGACGAGTACGCGAACAAGCTCCGAAATTACTTTCGCGTTCGTTCGTCGAACACAGGTGGCTCCTCCCGACGATGTCCGACGTACGGATACGGCGAATACAAACCGCTCCGAAAACAGCATCGTCGATACGTAAACGGTGGAAAAAGAGGCGAATGCTTTTCGCGAATGCGGTCGCGATCGCGCGACGCACGGAGAAGCGTGGCGTTCGTTTCGAGAGCAAAGACGATAACGAAGACCGAAAAGAGGGAGATGATCGTTCGGCTAGAAATTGGACATCGCGAAGCTGCGCGAAGCGCGAAGGCACGCCACGCCACGCCACGCCACGGGTTTCTAGTTCCTCGCTGTTTCTCTCCGTTTCTCCTCCTACTTTTCCTCGTCCGCCTCCTCGAGGTTCGAGACTCGAGGCGTTCCTCGAACGACGCTAGAAGCTATCTCGCTCGCTCACCTGTCAGAACTCTCGGAGCTGTCGTATCGATCGGCGCACCGCTTCTTGCCGCAAGGGCCGACGAGGGTGTCTTCGGCCATCCTAACCTGTCCCTTGAAAGGGCTGCCCTGATGCCTGCCGGCGACGAGGCCATTTGCAGTAACACCAGCGGCACCAGCACCACCACCACCACCAGAAGCAGAAACAGCAGCGGCGGCAGCAGCACCACCAATACCACTACTACTACTACTACTACTACTATTGCTACCACCGTCACTACTACCATCACTAGCGATGCCGTTCGTCTTTCGGGCCGCGTCGTCTCTCTCGATCTCGCCGTTATCGCATCCGAGACGACTCACTTTCCGTAACGCGTTCCTGTCCTCGTCCTCGTCCTCGTCCTCGTCGTTGTCGTCGTCCACGCGTTGTCGACGGCACTCGTTCACTTTGTTCACGCGATCGTTCGAGGCATCCTTGTCGAGGAAAACGACGCTCGCGGACCTCGACCGCCGACCGTCGGCCGAGAAGGCGGCATCGTCACCGCGCGTCGCGTAACCGGTCATCGCGGCACCGTCGCTACCACTACTTCCATTATTATTACTATTATTATTATTATTATTATTAATACCATTGCTACTACTATTACCGCTACAGCTCTCTTCGTTTTTCACAGTCTTTGTTAGATCGAATCGAACAACGCCGCAACACTTCTTCGAAACACCGTTTTCCTTTCTCGCAGCTTCTGCGTTCTCGTACTCTTCTTCTTCCTCGTCATCCTCGTCATCGTCTTCGTCGTAATCGTCGCTGGTCGGTGACGCGAACGAGAGAACGCGCGTCGTGTCAACACCGGCACCACTATCACTCTCGATTTTGCTAACGCGTTCGGTACCGTCGACGTCGCTGTTCTCGTGCTCGCGACGTCGAAAATGATGCTGATGATGATTGTTATTCGCGTTACCGTTGTTGTTGCTGTTGCCGTTGATATTACTGTTGTTATTACCGTTACTCGAATGTCGCCGTAAAACGTGAGGGTGACAATTGCGACGAAGAAGACGATGCTGTTGATGTTGTCGATGATAAGGATGATGATGCTCGAGCACCGAAGCGTCGTCGTGGATGCGTCTGGCGATGTCCTGACCCGTGCTCAAGGACGTCATCGAAGACGGGGCGTCCTGACGTTTGTGTCGTTCTCTCGTTAAACGAGAATCACTGTTCCCTAGGTCGGTGGCCGCGTCTTCCACGGAAGGACCGTCTGCCATCTTGTAAACGAATGCACTAATGCCTGGCAGAGGCCCTATGGCACGAGCACGGGCCGCGCCACCGCTAGCTCGCTTCTACGGCCCGGCACGGCTCGCTTAACCCCTCTTTTCTTCACCGTACAAAACCACCGCCACCTCTCACCGACGGCAACCCACTGATGGCCCCCACTCTAGCGATCGCCGACGCCTGCCAACGAAGCCGAACGACTATGCACGAACTTGTCCGACGGTTTACGAACTTGAACGAACGCCCTTCCCTTTCGTCGATCTCGCTGTTCCTCGCGACATCTCGCGTCCCCTTCGATTTATTCTGTTCTGGCGGGCGAATTTCAACGTGTTCCGATCGATCGTCTTTTAGTACGTATTTTTGTCGAAATTTCATTCGTCGAAGATGGGAATGTTCGGGCTAGGACATGATACATTGATTACGCTCGATATTCGTAACTCACTCGTGTTTATTTGAAAGAAATAAACGTTTCTATCGGACATTCCAAGAAGGTATACTATAATACTGACAATTAACACATCGAGACTGGGACAATTTCTCACGATCTAGCCTGTGTGCTTGACGTGACTCTAGACTGTATAAAGCAACTCGCATACGTGTTCTCGGTATTCACAGTCCGTCTCACAGAGGGTAAATCTGTGGTTCCCCATTTCAACGTGTTAAGAAGTTAATCGTGAGCACCATAGAACTTATTTACAGCCTGGAATGTAACTCTAAAATGAAAGACGCGCTATCTAATGTGAACTATTCACAGGCAGTAACCAGCGTTGATCGTGCTACGGATAGAAGTACATGCTTTTGTACAGGCGATACTCACAGTATTTTTAACCGAACAATATGTTTCGACTCTTTTCTATACTCACCTTTTCTGTAATTAGATTATAATTATAATTGTTGCGTAACTGTGCGACATTGCAAATGTACGAAAAGTAAGAAATCGAGGTTTCTTCGTGAATGTGCGATCGTTCTATCGACTTTGTCATCGATCTAAATTCGTCTATGATTTCTGGAATGTGCGTACTCGAACGCGTTATCGTACAAAAGCAGTGATTTTAAACGCAACACTGTTCACATTGTTCGAAGCGAACGATTCAAAGATAAAAAACATCTTTAATACAAAATAGGCGGCAACCCACTGATGGCCCCCACTCTAGCGATCGCCGACGCCTGCCAACGAAGCCGAACGACTATGCACGAACTTGTCCGACGGTTTACGAACTTGAACGAACGCCCTTCCCTTTCGTCGATCTCGCTGTTCCTCGCGACATCTCGCGTCCCCTTCGATTTATTCTGTTCTGGCGGGCGAATTTCAACGTGTTCCGATCGATCGTCTTTTAGTACGTATTTTTGTCGAAATTTCATTCGTCGAAGATGGGAATGTTCGGGCTAGGACATGATACATTGATTACGCTCGATATTCGTAACTCACTCGTGTTTATTTGAAAGAAATAAACGTTTCTATCGGACATTCCAAGAAGGTATACTATAATACTGACAATTAACACATCGAGACTGGGACAATTTCTCACGATCTAGCCTGTGTGCTTGACGTGACTCTAGACTGTATAAAGCAACTCGCATACGTGTTCTCGGTATTCACAGTCCGTCTCACAGAGGGTAAATCTGTGGTTCCCCATTTCAACGTGTTAAGAAGTTAATCGTGAGCACCATAGAACTTATTTACAGCCTGGAATGTAACTCTAAAATGAAAGACGCGCTATCTAATGTGAACTATTCACAGGCAGTAACCAGCGTTGATCGTGCTACGGATAGAAGTACATGCTTTTGTACAGGCGATACTCACAGTATTTTTAACCGAACAATATGTTTCGACTCTTTTCTATACTCACCTTTTCTGTAATTAGATTATAATTATAATTGTTGCGTAACTGTGCGACATTGCAAATGTACGAAAAGTAAGAAATCGAGGTTTCTTCGTGAATGTGCGATCGTTCTATCGACTTTGTCATCGATCTAAATTCGTCTATGATTTCTGGAATGTGCGTACTCGAACGCGTTATCGTACAAAAGCAGTGATTTTAAACGCAACACTGTTCACATTGTTCGAAGCGAACGATTCAAAGATAAAAAACATCTTTAATACAAAATAGGCACTTAGCATCGTTACTATTGCTTATTAAATATTCCTTATTGGTCTTTATCGTTTACGCTTTTCCGAACGAGTCTTTCGAAGGATCGATTTCCGCTATATTTTAAAACGAACAAAATTTAATTAAAAAGAAAGTCACCTAAAGTTCTAAGTCACTCTCTCTCTTTGTTAACTACGCCCTTTCATTTATTATACCGACGATTATTCCGTATGAGAAGTAAAAGCTAAAATCAACTTTATCCTTTCAAGCAGACTTTCATTATTAAATTTTGGATAATTATGATTCAGCTTGTCATATCTACTAAGTGTACACGTATAAAATTCAATACTTTCAAGGCGATATTCGATGACAACTTTTACGCGATTATTGTCATTTTTTGATACGTAGAATTTGAAGTGAGAGGTATACCGGAATTCGTGTATACATTTACATTCATAATCTTTAGAAAATTTTTACAATTTTACATTAATTATTAGCCCGTTTCAAACTACCCCCCGCGATTTTTCGGACCATTATATTTTTTAAACGTCAAGTATGACGTGTCCATGAACGGAATGTTTATAAATTTCATTCTTCAACTTCGGACCCTTGCCACTTCGGTGAATTCTATCTGAACTTGATTCGGATATCCTGAAATATAATACCTCTTCTGTAGTTCGTTATTTTCATCCTAGTAAAAATAAACGTTATATGTACACTAGTATCTCAATGCGTTTGTCTACTACGGTAAAAATAGTCGTATTTGGTTCGACGCTTCGAAGTCTTTCACTTTTTTTCGACTTTTCTTCTCTTTGCGATTCGTAGCACTCGACAACTATTAGAACAGTCGACGCGTTGATCAACCTTGCTTATCTTAACAAATATTTGACATTCGTAAAAGTTTGTCATTATTCCCATCGACCATTCAACTGGCCGGTAGTCTTTTTTATTGAAATACTGCTTCTTTCTTCGTTCGAATACGTAATTGAAACTAAACTTCAAAATAGAACCACCAACGTCTTTGCTAAAGCCTCTCGCTTTCGGTCTTATCATCGAGATCTTCTGGTCTCATCGACAAACGCGATGTATTTGCTAATTCCGACAACAAAAGGTGTTCTCCGTCGAGAGTACTCCTCGAAGCTGCGCTGATTAAATTGTTGTGTCCGCTGGTACTTCTAGCCAGTCTTCGTACTACCTTGTCCCGTCTTTGTTTTTCCCTTTCCGTCTTCAATTTCGTGAACTCGTCGTCGGAATCGGTAGTGTTACAGGAAGAACTGTGTGTACTGATCAGGTCATCCGGAATACCGCTGCCGGCATAACTCATCGCTGGTTCGTAAGCGATGCTGGATCGTGCCGATTGCGTCGATCGTTCTGCTCTGGAATCCAAAGTGCGTGGATTCGTACGAGAAGCGTGATCGAATAAATTAATGACAGTTCGATGATATTAACCTGCTCGCGGGTGGATATCTTGTGTCGTTGACGCTTCCGTTGTTTCCCACGGCACCAACAGGAGCACTAGTTGAGAATATTTCTCCGTTTCGAGTATGCTCTGTACCGGGAACGTTGACTGGAGCACTCGGAGGTGGAGGCCCAGGGGAAAATATGCTCTGCACGTGAGGCCGTTTGTCCGATTTCATCGATGTTAGGGTCATCTGCTCGTCGGCTTCCTCTTTGATCACGCCTATCCTCATTGAGCCACCTGCGCCTACGTGTCAGTCGCGTTTTCGAACATTAAACATTGCCAAGAAAATTTCATTGCTCGATCGTAAACGTTTTAAGCAGTTAAACATACCGACTATACGATTTTGCAACGAAGCGGCGGAACTAGAGGTCGCGAGCCTTCCTGGAGTTTTAGTGCCGCTCAGTACACTACCGTCTGGTCTGTCTTCTTTGCTGAACAATCGTTTGAACATGCTGGTCACGCTGTTCACTCTCGTTAGAGAACCACCCAGATTACTGGGAGTGGAACCTCCGCTGAGAGTGCGATCTCGATTGCTCACTCTGCTAGCGCTTCTACGGACAAACGTATACTTAGTAACTTCGCGAAGATTATATCTTTGGTCGTTTTAATGCGAGTAATATGAAATGCTCGTATGGAAGGATGAATCTCATAGGTTGAAAGGGAAACATAGAAAAAGCAAACATTACCTTGCTATTTTGCCACTCTCTGTGGTACTCCTGGCCAAGCGTTAGGAAGCATGAAGGTGAAACAATAAAAACAAAAACAGTTGCATCGCATGAAGTGTAGCGTCACGAAACGGTGCTGCTTTGAAATACCAACCTTGACATTTTGCCAGTAGCCGTGAAGTGTATACCGGACGCCGCATCGTCGGCTACATCCGGTCGGAATTTTTGCTGGTAGTCCCCTACCATTTCGTCGATTCTGACCGAGGATGGCTGAAGTTCTTGTTGTGCCGCGGATAACTGTATGCCGGCCGTCGACGGTTGAGGATGTTCCTCTCGCAAGGCCTGAGTTGCCGCCGTGTAAGGGAGCTCCGTGGGGAATATTTCGTCCCAGTATTGATCTCGTATCAATTCCGGATGCTCATGATGCATCTCGTCGACGATTAGGTAGCTCACCTTAAAGAAACATCACGTTGCAGTCTCTGCTCGCGGCTCATAACTAAGTATCTTCATCGAACAGTTTACTTGCAAATTCCTATCGATTATCCAGTTAACTTCAAAGTCATCGTCGTCTTCCCCGAACGGATTGATCAGAGTCTCGGCGACCTTGAGCCAACCCATATAGAAAAAAAACTGCAGCGTCGTGAATACTGGAAAGTAAAGATCGATTTTCGACGTGGACGAATCTTGCACCCATTGTCGACCCATCACGCTCGTTAAAAAGTATGTGTACACAGCCAAAGTTACCACCTGCATAAACGATCAAGCTTTAGCGGTGTTTCGTAATTCTTGTCGGAAATTCTGGACGCGTTTCCTAATGAACTTACTTGGGTATAAACTAAAGGAACGCTAATCGTATCATAGTGCATGAGACTACCGCAAAGACCGCGAAACTTGTTCAGTTCGTCTATCAATGTCTTTACAGCAAAATCGTCACGAATCCGACCTTCCTTTCTGGCCCGAGTCACTATACTCGACGCCCACACAATTGGCAGCCAATGCTTGCTGGGCTTGGGAAATTTCGCGTTCAGGCTCTGGAATATCACTAGTTCGTTCTCCAACAGCAAACCGGTGTCCACGAAATGCTCCAACGTTGGAAAACGTTTTTTTACACGAGGCGAAACCATCGCCAACACCAGTGTCAAACAGACGCAGACGTATCTGAAACAGCGAAACATATCTTTCGTTGGAATACTTTAAGCAGCGAGTAAATAGGTGGTCGTTTCAAAAGTCTTTGAGTACTTTGATATTGTTAATTCGATATTGTTATCTAAATATATATTTCTTGAAGTATGAAACGATAAAAACAACTCTTGGAATACCTTGCAACCATTCCATGTCTTATACAAAGTCATTCTGATCTAGTTATGGAAATAAAATTTAAAAGGCGGAATCTACTTTGAAACATATATTCAAATTTATACACAAGTTAGCTTATGGACTCGCGTAAAACGACGAGTTACGTGTCAAAGCGACCTTGCATTCCAAACCTCCGAGGATCGATTCAAACCAGTCTAATTGTTCTGTACAAGAACCGATTTCAGGAACGACAAAAAGTACAATGATAAAGTCTACGAAAGAAAACACAATGGTTCAAAGACTTTTGAAATGACCCGGTAGAATAAAAGTTCACCTGAACATTTTGTTCCCTTGACTTCGATCGAGCCTCGATTGTTATCGTTTGGCGGGGTTATAGAAACAGATATATACCTGACGATGGTTCGACGCATTAATCGACCCCTTTCGTCGTTGCCGTGAATGGTGGCTGACACGAAAACCGCGATCGAGTCTGGCCAGGGTATCACCATGTATTGATTCCACCATCGGGTCATAACGATACTGACGTAGAAACCCAAGACGAACGATAGCGGTATTAGGTCGCTGTACTCGTTGCAGTATGCCACCACTGCCTCGAAAATCTTCTTTTGATGCTCGTCCAGTAGCAACCGGTAGATGCTCGATAGGGAGTAATATATGAAGAGGAACAGAGCTAAGTCCAACCACACAAGCTTGTAGATACTTGCTCGCCATCTGTTAAAATATAGAAAAAAATGAAACTCGGAAACGTTTTAAATAATTTAAGAATCGATTCTTAAATATTAGGAATTTGGTACTGTGGACAAGAATATTTCTTCAAGTAAGCAGTTGCTTCTTATTGTTCTCTTTGGAGTTACACAACGTTCAATCAATCGCTTTAAATACACTCATAGTAGAACATTACGTTACTGGTAAGAGACACAAACGAAAACAAAAGAATAAGAACTTGAAGTCTACTTTTAAGCTATCCTCTCAACTCGTTTTAAAGAACTGCCAGCATTGTTGCTACACAATTGTAGGAGATATCTTAGAGTTCTTTATTACTTTAGAGTACGTTTCATTTTTTATAAAATATAAACAATTACAATTAGACAAACGAAATATTAATTGATGTAATAATAAAATGATCAATGACCAGAAACATCGAACGGGAAAAAAACCAACTTTTACAGAGAACAACATTTCCTACTGATGTCATTTATCAGCAAACATTACGTCCGATTACGAACTGCACGCGAAGTATGTAAGACCTTGATGAAATATTACGATTTGCTAAGAAACGCGTGAAGCACTAGGAAATTAACGATAAAATCATCCTCGCTTCGTTCGATACGGTAGTTCCCACATTTTCTGATGACGCATACCTTTCATTAGAATTCTTCCTAGTTTGCGAAACGACAAACCAGTATGCGAAATATGTACCATTTAGTTGACTTCAATTACAAGTAACCCCAATTGGCTCGAGGGGAACACAAAATAAATATACTCGATTATTCAACGAGCGTCATTTCTTTTTTTAAAGCGATTTCAAGAAATCTCGAGTGTACGCGTTAACGACTACCGCACGCACTAGGTAACAAGTTGTTTCATTCAAGCAACCTTGTACGATCTAAAGAAGTACTGTTACGCGTCTCTATTAATTTAAACGACGAAAGTTTTGCTTCGATTATTTCTCAGAATGTAAGCCCTATTATAAAAATAACGAAGTCCGTTGGGACCACAACGTACGATGCTTATCGCGCGTCTAAAACGCTTACCTTAGGAGTAATTTTAGAAAGCAACCGAGACCTCTACAGGTAGCAACTTCGGCGGTGTAAGTGACCGTCATTTCTCACACGGTACACCTGTGCTGCAAAACGGCGTAACCAGCTGCAGAGTTGTCTCAGATCCCGTCAGCCTCGGATCTTTTGCCAGAAATCACTCTTGCCACAGTCATCTCTTCCGACATACGCGTGACATCCTGTCTTCGGCTCAGATTTACTCGAACAAACGACCGATCACGAGTAGATAATAATTAAATTGCGTTCGACCTTATCTCCGGCCTCTTCTCTGTCGGCGATAGACGGACAGACGAGAAGTCTGCGAAGGTCATTCTCGATGCGTTTTGCACGATGTCTCACTCTGTCTGTCTCTGTCAATCGAACGATTACGTAATTGGTGACACTGACTCAACTCGCCAACGAAAACCGCGTTACTCAATGAATCCGCTTGTCTACTGTTCCGATCTACAGCTTATTCGACTTCCTCCTGGTACTCGGAAACCTTGGAGAACACCTAACCTCCCACTTCGATCAGAGTGGAGTGGTGCGTTGAAAATATTTTGCCGATCAACGCGTCCTCTATGTTGTCTACGCTTGTGTCTAGCTGTCTTTAGTTTGATAAATAGTGCACGATTTCCTAACGATCATTTTATTAAAGTTCAAACACTTCTCGATACACTTACAACGGTTTCCAGTTTCTTTGACCTTCAATCCTTGGTACTAGATTTCCGGTCAATAACTTACGAGCGACACGTTTTCTTCCCGTCGTTGAACGAATCGCTTTTTTCTCAAAGAAATTGCTTGTCCACGTCCGTTTCACTGAACTCTACAAGTAAATGTATGTCCAAAAAATCAACAACAATGATTGCTACGATGATTCATTAACGCTCGTAAAGAGCGACACGGACATGTTATCGTGTCAGTTACCGATACTCTTATCTCCCTTTCAGCGGTAACCGGTTCATAAAAAAACGAAAGCACGCAACGGTCCGAGAACGCACTATTTCTACGATTCCATAGAAATTCTAATATCACTCGTCGAGCTCTTTCGTTGAAATCCTAAAGCGATTTACTTAAGATACACGTGTCTATAGTTCCAGTTTCTGCGTTTGAGGACGTTCGATTCTCCGATCGATTTGTATTCATTTAACGAACATAAGCGTACTATCTACTAGGCGGTGAAGAACGGTGCCAAACGACCAAGCCTTTGTTCGGTTCCGTTCTCGAAGTCATGACTCATTTTCTTTCTATATTTCGCAGGTTACATGCAAGTCGCGATTTCTAAGTAACGTGTACCGTTTCGGCGTTTCCCGTTAATCGCAATTGCAAACTTGATTTATAACCTTGGGGATCGTTATCACATTGTAAATAATCAGTTATCATTCTATCGACCTAATCCACATTTTTAGAGATACAGTCATTGTTATCGAGTTATAAACTGAGATACGTATTTCCTACTCTTGTCGTTCTTATCAAAATAATTTACAAGTATTTTTATTTTCTTATTTAATTAAAATCCGTTTGAACGTCGTCGCGGTTTTTTATATACAAGGCCATCGAACTCTGCTCTCGCTGCAGGGTGCAGAGACATTCTGCGTTCACCGTGCAACAATGCTTGAAGAGTTTTCAAATGACGACCCCCACTGTGTTACAAAAATACAGAGTTGATAAGTAGGATCTGTAGTTAGTGATTGAAGTTTAAGAGTCACGTGGTTTAAAATTAAAAAGTATGTAAAAATAATTTTGTCACGAGACGAAACATGCTGGTATCACGAGAAACAAATTATCGTTTCAAAGGCTGACACAACGTTGCGATCCAATAGTAGCGAGCACGTGGATGTACGTCATCTTACAAATAGAAGCTAGCATAGCACGAAGGAGAAAACAAATGAACATTTTTAAATGAATTCGTTTATTATATACTTTGCGTTTTATCGAATAAACAACGTAGAAAAGCCTTTCATCCTTGTCAGAGAATGCGTCCTGTTAATTTTCACATTTTCTCACGTGACTGTGTAATATTACTTTCTCCAAGTTGCAAATATAAAGTTAACGTAATGTTGAAACACTGAAAATTTCATTAACATTACAAAATCGGTTCAACCGATATTAATCCGGTTATAAATCTAAATCGGGTTAAGACTCGAAAAATGACATCTTACAGAAATGCAAAAAGTCTCGACAAAGGAACAGATTCCGAGACTCGAGTAGTCCTTAATATGTCATGTCACGGTTCGATCTTTCATAACGACGAAATTCGTTTCACGAAACTGAGAACACTGTTGATCGCAAAATTTCTGAACGAAAGACACCGTCACAATTCAACCGAAACACCGAGTGAGTTGTATACACGCAAATTCTGTCTGTCTTTGGCAGAAAGAATACTAAACGCGTCTGGTACAACCGTTGCCGCAGCACGCCAAAAGATCACCCCCCCATACTCCACTTTCAACCTTTCGATCCTATCCCCACTATGGTTTCGTGTTTCCGCATCAGCCAGTGGTGCTCATTTATTCCCTTAACTCTTTTACGCAAATTACTGCACTGAACTTATACTTTGTGCTCTATAAATGCAATAATAATAGAGAGGAAAAAGTGAAAGGCGGACCGTGGTCATAGCGTTTGAAATGGGCCGACGAGAAAATCGTAAAACTAGAGAGTGAATCAATGGCAAATTAAAACTATAGAAGTAAGATCTTAGAGGATATTAAATGAATTGGAAAAGTTTAAATAACACTCGATTTTACTAATATTGCAATATACATGCAACTTATGTTTATCAAAATACTATATATCAACACGTGCAACATGTTGTCAATATATTATATGTACAATGCGTTTGATAAAACCTTTGTATCTATTGGCATGTCGCGTGTATGTTTTTAAAATTACAGTAATAATACAATGGCGAGTGTGAAATGCACAGTTTTAACGCTCTTATGTTATACAATATATGTATATAATATACACGATTTGGATTTCGTAAAAGATATTGTACATTAATATACCTTTTTACAATATATGTATATTTTTGTATGTATATTTCTACGCAACTACATTTTACTTTGATGCACAACACGCGCGTACACGTACAAATGAATCTATGCGAATCTCTTGCTCGAACCTCCGGTAGTCATTGATATAGCAATTGGACTAACAGTCTTGGTCCCTAAAAGTCACAGCCATCAAATGCAACGAATAGTAGTCTGAGATTTAAGGCCACTCGATTCAATTAAAAAATATTGATCAATGAACGGTGAAGAGAATCAAAAATTAAACTATCACTTCAATGAACAATATAGTTTCTCCGAAATAACTTTGTTCAGAAATGCACGTTAGAAATAATACACACTTCCTAATAATACTTTTTCACTCCTTAGGAACAGTAAATGTTGAACAGTAAGTGTTGTTTTCTTCTTCAATGACCTTACTGTAGTCGCACTGTCAGTAATTTTCATTCTCGTTCTATAATCTGCTAACAGTCTTATTTGGCCTTTTAGGTTCTGTCATGCAACAATCGTTGTCAATGCATCGTTCTTGGTTTCAGTTCTGAAACGAAGAATTAAATGAAGTAAACTGACACCAATAATCCTCAACTTATGTTATGCATAATTAAATATGATAGGTACCTAATGGTAGCATGTTGGGTAGAACGTGACCAACCAGCGATAAAATTATTTTCTCTTCTTTCCGCGATTCGTTGTCTGCGGCTACCACCTTTTAATTGTACATTAAACGTAGCATTTTGCATGAGATCTGGGAATATAGTGGATTTAACCGTTTTATAAAATAACCTGACAAACAAACGATGATGACAGTCATATACGAGCCTGCGATGTATACGAATTTTTTATATCGTTAAAGTTTCATACCTAGGTAATAATGCTAGAACACAGGTAAGCACTACTGTAAGCCAATATGTGTATCTGGTGATGGCGACTTCCATTACCCAATATGAACATGGCAGACCCATGCAATTAACACAAACCACGTTATAAATTAAACAGAATCCAAAGAATATCCCTAATGATCCCATTACAGCAAAAACATGAATTATGGTCTGAAAATAAATAATAACGTTCACGTATGTTATCCAACATAATATTTTTAGATATCGTTTAGAGAACTCTTCTTACCCAAGATCTAATTTCTATGGCAACGTGTGTTAACATAACAACGATACAACACGTCATTACGGCAGTTCCAAATTCCCATATATCGATGGTGGAATCATAGTATACCTGAACACGAAAGTAACAGTTTACTTAGAATAATGCGCTTTTGTTAGATTCTCAAATAAGTTCAGGACTATACTAACAGCCACATTTACAAAAAAAATTACGATACTTTGATACAAAGCATCAACGATGGTTAACCAAAACGAGTATGGTTTGTAAACCAGTCCAAGCCGTCCTCTTTTATAGAGATGAGGCATAGACATCAAAACACCGGGTGAAGCTATTCGGTCGTACACACCCAATATGAGTGGTGGCATGGATGTGAACAGCAAATTGTACAACATCAGATAAATTTGGTCCATCATAACTGATCCAGTAAAGCCACAGTACAACTATAAGAAGCAAAAATCATTGCATTAAATGAACAGTATGATAGGTAGCTGTGATATAAATATTGTACGTTATACCTGAAACCAAAACACAAGGAAGACAAAGGTAGCATTCTTGTAGAAAAAGTACAAGATCATCCTGGACAAACGGTCGTAACACCAATGTCCGTGCAATAAAAGAAGTCTACTCAACATGGAGAATCTTGAAACGGCAAAATCCGCTGCCATGACAGCTTGCGTACCTTCGTGTCCTGAGATACCCACTCCCACATCAGCTGTTTGAATCATACTAACGTCGTTCGCACCATCACCAATTGCTAGAGTTCTCATTCCCAGTTGTTCCTTTACTACCCTCACTATGTACGCCTATAATACAAGCAACAGTTTGTAAAAAGTTGGGCTCCAAGATACGTCTACAGAAAGAATATCACGAAGGTGACATTTATTCTACCTTCTGAAGAGGCGTTGCTCGACATGCTAGCACACTGGAGCACATTTGAGTCAATTCAAGAAATGGTTGGATCAATCCTGATCGTGGATCAAGAATAACGGTCAGTGTCTTGCCATCTACAACGAGTGCACGTTGTCTTGGCCATGGACTGTCTATTCGATGAGCATCATTCTCCGCGGGATCACGATTATTAAGCATCGTAATATCTCTACTGTTATTCGACCCGCTTCGTGCATTGCTGTGAGCCGTACTTTCTCTTCGAACAGATTCTAAATATCCACGGATCAAGGTTTCTGCAACGGTTTTGGACCTTGCTTGCAACCACAATAATTGCATCGCTGGCGAAAAGAGACGCGCTGAATATGCAATGTTAACTGCTGTCTCTGGTTTATCTCCTGCAAATTTAAAATATCCATTAACTATTCCCACTTTGACCGATCGTAGTCTGATTTAATTTATAAGACGAATATACCTGTTAACACCCAAATTACAATCCCTGCTGCCATTAGGGTAGCCATTGTTTCAGGCACACCTGCTTGAAGTTTGTCTTCGATTCCAGTAGCACCTAGAAGCGTTAAATGCGATTCAAGAGATGCGTACGAATTTTTGATACGCAATTCCCGATTTTCCATTGCCAATTCCGCCTCTGTATGAGCTTGTCGCCAAGTCTCGTATTCCTGAGCAGTCAGGGATTTTTTAGCCATCACTAAGGTTCGGAGACCTTGACGTGCATAAGATTGCAAATGCTGGCGAGCTTTAATCGTCGTTATGGAATTCTCTTCTTGAGAAACTAGGGATGACAGTATAGACGTGTCGGCACCCTTGCTATACAAGACAAGCTCGTTCGTCAGAGGATGTCGTACTAAGATGGACATACATTTTCTATTAGAATCGAATGGTAAAACCTGAAATTTAAGAAGCACCACTTATTCCGAGCGTCTTTTGTTGTTCGCTAAAACTTTCATATCCAAACTGATTTCCAAAGGAACAAATTTGAGAACACCTATACAGACTTACATGAAGAATCTCAAAAGTAAGGATAGATTTATCTGGCAAACAGACAATCGCGCTACGTGCTGTTCGTTTAAGAAGCTTCACGTCATAAGCGCAAGCAGCGTTCACCAAGGCGAGCTCGTCCGGGCTTTCCGCTTCGTAAATCGCAGCGGTAGGTAACAGCTCGCCTCCGTTCTTGCCGTTCGTATCGGTAACGGGACTCGGCTGACCCTGTCTTTTCTGCGCTCCGTTCGGAGACAATTTTCTTCCAAACAATCCTAAACTAGGTATCGTCGTCACATTCAGAAACTTTGGCCTAGAGATAATCATTATTTAGCATCTTGAAGCGAAATAAGATTCTATTAATAGAAACTTAATAGAGCGGAAATATTAACCTAGGCAGTTTACTCGATAGTTTCGAGGTGCTATTTAAAACAGATTCGATTTCAACCATCGATGAAATCGACGACACGTTTTCGTCGAGGCTATCCGTGGGATGCGAGAGCGTGGACAAAGGGATAACTGGCGAAGGCGTTAAACTTCTTGAGTCTATCATTCTCGTGTACCTAAAACGTACGTTAAATCAGGATGCATCTTGAACCTAAATAGTTATAACTTCGAAACACCGGATACTCTGATTGATAAGAGGAAAAATATATACATACCTTCCAGTTTCATCGCCGTTCCGCTGAGGGTCCTCGATCACTCCACTAGAGTTCATAGTGTCGTAATGAGGTTGAGAATTGACCACAACGGTATTACATATCGCTAATACGACTAGGAATTCTTGTAGATGCTGTCTAAATGTACCTATAAGGAGATCTTCCTTGAGCCGCGAGGAAGGTACCAAATTCTCACCGTCCCCCGTGTGCGAATAATCCTGACCCCCCACGACACATCGTCTGAACAGCATTTTGTTTTCCGTCAGCGTACCCGTCTTATCAGAAAATATGTACTGCACCTGTTGAAGTAAAATAACTTCTTAACCCTCTACTCGAAGTCTATAAATAGACGTTATAGAAGCTAAAGAGCTATGGTAACGCGTTAATCAAGATCACGAGCAAATTTAATCAATCAACCTCACCTGACCTAATTCCTCCGTGATATTGAGCGCGCGACATTCAGCCGAGCGTCCCGTCTCCGCATCGTACAGGGCGACATCGTGACCAATGTGATAAACCTGGCCGACTTTCGCCATTTCTAGAGTGACGTATAGACTCAAGGGTATCATCACTTGAAGGATGATCACGAACGTCCAAAACGTTAGCATGCTCTCGTAGTTTGGGTCTTGTAGAACGGGAATAAACGGTACGAACGACAAACCGGAATAGTTGGAGAGCCAAAATCGGCAACCGATTGCACCGATCAGGCACAGCACCACCAAAATCACCACACACCACACGACATCTCTGTTCATTTGTTTCTCGAGGCGAGAACACTGGACAGAAATACCTCGTTGTAATCCACATTAACTTGTAAAAAAAATGATTAAACAATCGGGAGAGCACAGTCGTTAGTTTCTGCAGAGAAATACATTTTTTTACCTTGTACCGAGGTCCACCGTTATTGAGCAAGGCTTTCGTTTCGTGACCGGCGTATATCACGATTCCCTCGACAAAATCGGTGTTCTTTAACAAACACTCCCTGAGCAAAAGATTCTCCGTCGAAACAGGTACTCTACCTCCGTTCGGATGAACGACGGCTCCATGAAACCTGCAATTTTCTGCGTTAATGACATCGAGGCACGCGTTGCCTTGCCCTTCTCCGAATTACCGCGAAGATCGTTCGATTACCTGTATATTCTGGTGCTCGGCTGATCGACTTCGATTACTGATCGGAATTTGGCGGGTTGAAAAGTGTCCTGAAAATCCACGAAGCCTCTCACGACTTGTCGTTGTTTCAGATTCGTTTCACCGTCGAGATTACACGTGTCGATGTAAGCAATGCCCTGAGGATCGCTGCTTCGTAACAGCAACACATCGGCTGGCACGAGTTCGTTGTTGGAGAGATGAACTAGGTCACCGACCTTTACATCTTTCCACGCCACCTTTGCATACCTGTCGTCCTCCCTGCGTTCGAATAAAACGGATTTATATTTTCACCGGTAATGCACGTACCGCGAATCATCTTACTAATTTATTTAGTCTGCCTATCAATATCGCGAAGAAGCTTATTACCAATTTACTGCTACTGCCACAAGTTATTTGATCGCCCAGTAACTGTAAACTGTGAAAACGTAACGTTACACCAATCTGCTGGCAGCGTAATTTTACTCTATCGCGAATGTGTTCACCCGAAAGTGCCTATATCTTTCATAACGTCTCGACTAGTTCAGCAAAAGGGTAACCTTCGTGACGAATGATGATTGGGACCACATACTTAACGATAACCGAACCGTCGCAACGGTCAAACGTCGATTATTCTTCATTAACCGCAGTCGTGGTTCAATATTCTTTCTTTTCCTCTTGTTCTTTTGTTCAACGCAAAGTATTGTTTGTAAATGTACGAAAAACGATGCAAAAGGTTAAGAATTTAAAGGACTTCGTCGAGTTCGTTTCCGTCGATAACGACGACGGAAAGCGCTTGGTGAATTCGAATATCTCGTTTAACGCGAAACAACAAGGAACTGTAGAACAGCTTCAAATTCGTAATGATCTTGATGGTCGATTTAGAACGATTAAACGTCAAGGCCAGCTGCTGCTGCTAATTTATTAAAACGCGAACAAAGTTACTGACACGAGAATCACCATGCTCGTTCCGCAGATGGAGATACAAGAGTTCTCTCCAAGGCTACTTTCGCTACTTATTTTACTTAAAAGAATGCGAAGGATGATCAGATCTGACCTAGACTCCATTTAAAGGGGTCAACGTTACGTAGGCTTTTATTCGGGAGACAAGATTCGCGTTGTGATTCCGTAACCTTTAGGTGACTGTCTCGTTACCGAAACTGAAATATCATCGATTAAGTTCTCTTTTATCCTCGCGACCGTGACAACCGGCGTCTCTTCAATCGGAAATCGTGAAATCGAACTTTGCTTCCAATTTGCATAGCTCTTATTGCCAAGGACTCGTGACGTGTCCCTCCTTGTTCACGGAAGAATAGTACCATTATTGTTATACGTTTTCAAGGATGGATAGTTAACGGTTCGCAAAAGAATGCCTGCCGATGCACGTTTTCTCGATTCAATGTATCCTTGTGACTTCACGCGTATAGCGTGATGTGTACAGCTTTAACTTTTTTAAACTGTCGCTCGTATTACGTTTTATTTCTCCGGGAAGTATCTTTCGTTACTTCATTAAAATGGTAATTCTGATAAACATTTATCGGCCGCTTACACGGTAATTACAGTCCACGTGGTATTTTCAACGTATTCGGAACGAGTGTCCTACGGCATGTGTCTGTCACCCTCAGCGACGCACGTGGTGCGTCCTACGATATGTAACTACCACAACTCGATAGACACAACGTGCGTCATAGTATGTCTGTTTAAAATAATCGATGTTGTATTACGAGTCCGACGTCATCGATTGCGATCGGTGACATACAGGGTGCGTCGGCGTTTGCCGCAATCGGTAACACCATATTCGTGTTCAAAGATATAGATTATGATCAATCAATATTGAAAAAGTGTGGACTGAATGAGATTGTTTAAAAGTAAAATGATAAGGAAGATAAAGATGTGTGAAGACGAAAATTGAAGTTGAAACATATCCACATCTGATAGTACGTCCACGACCTCGAACAAATTGACTCGAGTCGAGTCGAGTACCATTTGTAATTAAACGGACTTTTAACGAGCATGTTCCTATTTCTATTTCCAAAGGAAAAGCTGGCTTGTTTGACTTTTAACGTAACAATGAGCTGATAAATCGGTCGCGGTGACGGCATCAACCAGGTAACCTTACAAATTCTTTTATGCAATGTACGCCTTCATTATACATAGATAACCCGGTGATTAGATAATGGAAGATCATTTTAATAATTTCTTTTGTTTCTAATTATTCACCACGGGTCGTGTTAGACATTGTTCGTTGCATGGGTGTTCTACACGTGTGGAGATAACGAAAATTTCAGTGAACAGCTCAACTGAAAGCATTTCAAAAGATTCGTGTCATTGTTCCGCACAATGTAGCACAGAAGAGTCGCTCGGTTTTTTCCATTATAGTGGCAGGATCGCCCAATTATCATTTGTTAAGATATATTATATCCGGCGATAACGATGTCGAAAATGACACGCGTTTAGCATGTCGTTCATGGTATATATTCGTCAAAGAATCCCTTATTTGTTTTAGATTAGATGTTTCATCATTGAGTTTCGATATCACGGTATACAGGTAACTTTTCCGAGATGAGAGTGGCGGTTTCATTCGCATTTAGATTCTTTATAATTTCTTAGAATAATTTATTCAAGCCGCTATAAAAGATGTAACGCGATATCACGTAGGTGCGAAATACTGACATGTAACTGTGGCACAATATCGATATTTCACGCATTAATGATGTAATTGATGACGTCAGCGGCCGGTTAACAGGTCAATAAAGCACGATCAAGCGAAAATAAAATTTCTGTTTTTCTCGATTCGTCCTTCTCCCAACTTAGCATATTTTCTCGAAATAGTTGCGAACAGTTTTCTTGTTCTTAATAAAAAAGCGAGGACTCAAAGTCTCTTTTCACGCATTAGCAACGATGCACGGTCACATGCATATCGTCGCATCGTTCCTGTCCGAAAGCTTTATCGAATCGACGATTGACTGAAAATACGATTTTTTGGATTACAGCGTATCACGTTACTCCAGGAGATTGCATCGATGCTGTTTCTCAATTGCGCTGATACAAGGTGGAGAAGGTCTATTTTTAAGAATGAACACAATTCGAGCGATTGGATCCCTGGGCCGATATCGGCACCGTGTTAGACAAATAGTATCGATACCGACTGGTCATCCGACGTAATGGTTGACCGAAACGAAACGTTCGCCAACCATTTAACTAAACTGCGTGACCACGATAGATCGAAAGAACCGATATGTAAATGACTGTCGAACGAATCGACAATTCGTCTAGACACGTATTTGAAATTTGCCATAAGAATGTGGCCCATCCTAGATAAAAATCGAGAACAGGAATTTTCAAGTAAGATCGGTTCGCACTTGACATTGAGGAATTTAGCAGCCGACTGTCGATCTCGTTGGTGAACGAAATTAAACGAGAGGCCAAAGAAGGTCAGCGCGTGCGTGTAGCCGCGAATTAAAGTAGGTAAAGGTCGTAAGAAACGCGCCGCCACGGAAGGGATTTGCTCGACCAGTCGCCGTTCACGCTTACGGCTGATTTTTTAACATCGACTGGCCACGCAAACACGCCCCCGCACTGACGTTCACCAGATTCGATTAACGGTTACGGACACCGTTGATCGACTCGATCGCCAAAGATTCTACGTTCTCTTTCTCCGGATAGATTTACATTCTTCGCGTGATTTTTCTCTCGACCTCCTTTCCTCTGCGCTTCTCGAATACGACTGTCAGCCCCGTTAGCTTCCTTTCGGCGTCAACGAATCGTCTTCTACGGAGACAGCGACCGAGTTCATGCTCCAACGTGCCTCAACTTCCTAGTTTCACTTTTTTCCTGGTTCCTGTTCCAGCTGGCAGGCTCGGCACCTTTCAGCGATCTTGCAACGAGAAAGGAAAAAAATGACAGAAGCGATTTGGCTCGGTGAACGTTGCTGCACCGACATGGACAATTTCCAAAACGTTTCATTTTCTTAAGTACCGATAACGTTTCCAAGCCTCCTGAATACTTTCGGACATAAATCACGATGACTCCTAAGACATAAAAAATAGTAGAGCAAACTTTTTTTAACTTTGTACGGAAAAAATAGATAAAGTTGAAATTAGAATCGTGGGAACTAGAGATTGTTGAAAGTATAGGGTCGTAGGTGTTAATAACGTGCAAAATCCATAAAACAGAGTAACTGCGTTGGATCCGCGATCAAACGTGGACAACCGTAAACACGTTTCTCAATCGTACCTCTACCCACGATGTACGATTATACGCGCGCGTAGTCGGGGGTGGCAATGAAAGCGTATCATGCTCGCCATCAATCAACGTTTCCAGGAATTCATCGAATAGACCTACATACTTTCATTCGCTTAGTCCGCAAGATCGTTACGATTTGCCAGAGGTTTCTGTATTAACCGATCAAACGATTCAGCTATATCGTATTAATCTCTTTGCTCTGTTTACAAAGTTGATTTCTGGTTAATTGATTATTTATAAATCAATAAACGTGTAAGGGCAAAGTCGAGATACGTGTATCGGTGTTGTGCAACTGGTTCTTCAGGCGTGTCAGAATCGGTGTTCATCGATCGACTCGCGGAATTGAGTTACATTATGAATGACGTGCAATCCAGTCGTCGCTTACCGGCCGCATTTATTTTCTACTCTGTCATCTGCTCTCTTCGTTGCAGGTGGTGCGCATACATTTTCAGCGATTAGGAAGCGTGATGTGCCTTCACGGGTTCGCGGCGGCGATAAAATCTTTGTAGAGCAGTCATTTTGAAAATCACTTGGAACGTTATGGAAAGTTCGAGAAATTGTCGGTGACATAATAATTCTGTTCCAAACATTGCCGTGACGTTCCATCCGATCATTACGATACAGTTAAGTCTGAATATCGATATCGAAGTCGCCGTATTCGTTGACTCGTTCTATGAGTAAATTGATGCTTATCACCGATGTCGATCGAGGGTACACTTAACCCTTTCTGCTCCCAACATTTTTGTCACCAACGTTTTATGTAACCATTTTGCCAGAGTGTAATACAATGCCAGAGTGTAAAATGTTTATAAATACGCGTTAGATTGCAACGTTATGTTACAATGTGTTAGGCGAAAGGAGCTTTGGCGTACATATGTAAATTATCAAGTTCAAGGATTGCTCATTCCTATATATTGTACATTCGGTGTACAATCTACTAGCGTTAACTATCGTAAATCAAACGTTTATGAGTTTATACGTTTACGAGACACAATTAGCACCTCGCCACGAGATTATGAGGTTTGGTCGCGAATTCGAAGGATATTCGTCGGCATATTTTCCTCGTGTATTTGCAGTGCTCTGGATGAGAAGCGTGGATAAAAGCAAAACACGATACGGATGAATAACAAGAGTGCATTTCTTCCTGGAACGGCTCAATTCTTCCAGACACTGCTTTTTCCTTTCAATCGCAACGAAATTTCGTCACAGAATGTAGCCTATTAAACGATAAGAAGGTGCATAAAATTTGTCGATAGTGATCTTTACAAGTACCGGAATACCTTGAAGCTCTTTTTCAGTACTCGTCCGAGAAAGGTGGGTAAACAAGGCTGTGCAAAGCGATAAAACCGCATTTATGCAGTAAGGATGACCAAACGAGGAAAGAAACGAAACGCTACAGCCATGACCCCAAAGAAACTAAAGGAAGCGTTCGCGCATGCTGTTGCTATTGGCTTCGCGTCTGCGAGAGGAATTTTTTAACGAAGCGAATAGCTCTCGAACATGTACGCGGGTTACCGATAGTGTTTCAAAAAAGCCACTACGTGTAATCCGTTTAAATGCTCTTTGCACTTCCTACCGAGCCTGCGGGTTATTTAACGGTTGCGTTCATACATTTCGTTGAATAACAAATCTCGAAAGAATTTCATAATGCACGCGCTGTCGCGAATCGCGATTATTCTTTGTTAAAGCCTTGAATGAGTCAAATCGAACGGCACTTTATCTTCGTTGCGTTCGATTTCACGGTTTCTTGCAATTAGCGAACGGTACGTGATCAATGAATAGCGCGGAAACAGGTTTACGCGTGTTTACGAAGCCAATAAATTACCTTTTCTTCGAGGCAATTTCAAATTTATTTATCGCGTACATTAAATCCAATTTGCTACAAGCTTCAAATTTTACTCGGACGTAATCAAACGATAAAAGATACATTAAAAGATAAAGTTGATATCGAATTAATCGTTGTAATTGCACCAGTCCGAAAAGTGATCGAATCGCTTATGAATGTTTTACTCACCCGACGTAAACTCGACAAGTGGAATTATTGACGCGTCGATCGCTGGCCAGTCTTCGGCGATCCTCGAAGTAATCTTTTAGTGCAGTCACGCCCAGCACGAAGATTACAGGTATCATGGCTACTTCTTTGCCGAACGCGTTTATAGCTGGCACCCAATTAAGCAGTACAATAAACACAAAATATATATTGGCCACACGGTGAAATTGTTCGAGAAGATTGCGAGGTAGGAAGCTCAGCGTGGTGTACTTTGTTGTGCGTACTCTGAAAATGTACAAATCAAACTCTTATTACGGTGACATCGTAATCCGACGCGATGGGCAAAATGCTAAGTTGCAACGATTCGGGTTACTCCACTTTCCTCGAATCGGATAACGTCATCGGATGATTCGAATTACCTATTGTTCACTCTTTTGCCATTAGGATGCTGACTCGGAGGTGTTTTCGGCGATATTAAATGATTTGGTACTATTGTCCTTAAGCGAGGTTCATCGGGTAACGGACCGAAACATCGAGCCCAAAGTTTTCTCCACCAAGGAGGTTCTTCGCTACGTCTTATCGTGTATATCGACTCTGATCTGCGAATAACATAGAGGTGGAATAATTTACGAGCAATTGATCTCGTACACGCCTCGTTGCCGATTCGATTGCAAAAGTGCTTAGACGTTAATAGATGCTACGAGGAATGTAGACGATTAGATCGGTCGAACGGACGACTACTACTGAAATTTTTCTCTCGCCCGTTCTCGTTTGTCACGAATTAATAACGCAGAAATTGATCTAATTTCAATTTCGGCGATACTCGTGAAATGGAAGCCTGTTGGAACAATAGCGCATCTGTTTCATCAATATTTCCATCGAATCGACCTCTCGATATATCAATTATTTATCGTGAAAATACCTGGACGCTTGTCGCGAGTGACCTCGAAAGGAGGGCACCTTTCCAGCAGTGGGTGGCCTGGATTCCTCTCTGTGCCCAGGCGGAAGAATAAAGTCCGTTCTGGAGCCAACTCGGCTGTGTCCCATGACTGAATGACCCTGTACCTCGATTACCTGACCTTGACTGAATGCCCTTTGGTGACCGGGTTTCTTCAAGGCTGACGGTCTGGCACTTCCTATCGCTGACAGGGGACCAAGATACGATCCCGTCTGTGCGTGGTATCCAGTGTTCGTCAGACAATCCGCCAATACTCCTCCGTGACTGGCTGACCTGGCGTGAGTTCTCGGACACGGTCTCATTCTGTTCCCTGGCGCCTCGTTCCCGTCGACCTCGGTCTTCGCGAACTTGCCGAACGTTGCGGGCAAAGGGGTCGTGTTCGCGATCGAGACATCGGGAATCAAGGCGGTCGGTGGTTGCATCGACGCGTACGCCGAACCGGGATAGGACTGGTGATTCGGTCCCGGTCCTGGGAACACGTAAACCGACGCCTGCCTCTCGATCTCGCTCGCAGCTTCTTGCGCGCCGGCTTCGGACATGCTGGCACATCTGCCGACAAACATTCGCGCGTTATGATCACGGACATTTATGGACGATAGTCTCAAAAGAACTTAGGCTGGGAGCTAAAGAGAAAAATCTAGAGACGTGTCTGTACTTCCAACAATCGAACGGCACCTACGAATTACCGCTGATCAATGAACGATGTTTGTTCCAGTATCGTATTCTTTCGCGTTAATTAAGCGATGCTATAAACTGAAATTTTCTTTGAGACGACAGAAATCTCCGAGGTAAATCTTAACCTTAAATTAAGACCTTGGTATAAAAGTAGAGTCGAGGAAACGGTACAGGATGCATCCGAGATAAATACCACCGGATAAAAGCCACATGGCAGAAAATCGAAACGAACGTTTCAGTATTTCCGCGAAACCACGATCACGGCTAACAAAAGAAACGAGTCCTGGTCCAACAATCGTAAATAATCGAAGATACGCGTGGGGAATTTTCATTGATCGATGAGTGGACGAAATCTTGCGAAAAATCGATCGATCTATTTATAAGAAACGCCATTGGCCTTAGAAAAACAACCCTGACTGCGACGCGACGCACCGAACGATATGCCGGAAGTAACGTAATGCATTTCGAGCAGTTGTCTGTCGCGATCGTGGGTGCACTTGCACTTGCCCGACACAGATATGCTATTAATAAGATTGCAGAGCGAAAGACTAAGAGGAGGAGGGTATAAAGGGGTGGTAGAAAGAGAGAAAAGTTGTTTTTTTCGAGGATCAGCAAAACGCCGCAGAAACGAATGGATTAGAGACGTCGACGATGCTTCGGAAGAGTTCACAAAATGTTGCGAAACTCTAATCACCTTACAACGAGTAATCCAATAGCATCGTTGACAAGATCAACCTCTGCAAGGTTTTGGTTACCAAAGCTTCGGTAGCCAGAACTCGGAATCGTCTTATCGGTACAATCGTGCAGAGGACCGTACATTCAGAGCAGTACACTTTTTACATCGATGCTTCTTGAAACACCTTCACCGTTTCACGATTCCGTTTTTGACCTAGCCGTTCACTTTTGAAACGATCCGTATAAACCTGGGCTAGCTTATCGAATAGACAACTGATCGCGTGATTACAGATCTCTACGCTTACACGAAATTTCGCTAGTATACTAAACTAGAACAGGCAGTAGAGGATCTCGAATATTTTCGATAGTTTGTCGAGGTAAGACGAGGTCAACGGTTCACCTTTGAGTCGGTCGATTTTTCCTTTGTAAATTTTACACGAAAGCTACCGGGCTACAGGGTTCGTGCTACTTTCCCGTGACACAATACCCGCACAATTCATATGATCGAAACGAGTACGGTAACAGCAAATACACCCAGCTAGGCCGCTGAATATTCTTATCGGTCGTTTGTTGCGTACGCGTCACGTTGCCACGCGATAAAATGCTGTGCTCGCATTTCAACGTACCTAGTCACCTCCTATTTGCTTTCTTCCAATATCAAAAATTCGTTCAGATTTACTACGATTTTGGTCCAGAAAAGAGGCAACCTTTGTAGTCATCGAGATATAGCTGTCATGTGTTGTATCTCCACCATCTAAAAAAAGCCTATGAGAGGAGTATTCTTCTGGAACCTTATCACTGATTTTACTCGTGTTTCTTTTTTCTCCAGGTTGCCTCTCGGCGGGTCCGCAACAGTTTGCGGGAGATTACTAGTATCGATCCAAGGTCGATTGTTCTGTATCAGAAAGGACCATCAGACGAGAATTATTATGAAATATTTTGAAATATCTCGAGAAATAGTGAAAACTCTATCGTACTAATTAGTATTCCACTCGGTAGGTGGTAAATCGTGATTTGAAACTAATCGCTGAGCAGATAGGGAACCAGCCCGTTATTATTGTCTTATATCGCATCACGTGCACGATGCTTATCATTGAAACATTATTTACAACGTTTTTACCATCGATTTTACTGGTGTTTCCTGCCGGTTTCACTTTTAACAGGAAACTTTTATTTATCGAGGTAGAAGCGTTTTTCAGCCCTTTTAAACGAAAACAGTCGATGCGGTTCCGAGATTGCAAAGCTATGGAGGCATAGAAATCAACGATTCCTTGTAGGCAATAATTGCGAACAACAACGGCTCTCGTTACCGATTCGAGCATGTGGAACGCTAAGCCAACCTTCTCGTTTACTAGGCGTCGATATTCGCATGACCCAATTCCATTCTTCGGCTTTTCTACCCTTGATATTGTCCGTTTACATTAGAACACAGGATTTACGTCGGGTTGATGGTCGTTATCGATCCCTTAACGCGTCTTGGATCAACGACGCACCTCGGCTGTCATGCGACGTCCTTTTCGTTTAATTTAATTAAGTTTATTCATTTTATTTCCATCTCTGTCGTTCGATCGACGACTTTCCGGTGCGTCACGGGTTATCCCTACGACAACGCAATAAACGCGTCATGCTATATTCTTATGGTTTAATCGATTACCATGTGCATCGTATGAAGAAATTGATACTATTCGATGGATAGAAACATCGATCGGGTTCAAACGAATCACTGACCCTGAGACAGTGACCTCAAATACGACAGAAACATGCAATATTTTCGTCGAAGCAACGAATCAATGTTGAAATTATTCAGAGTCTCGAGAACTCGAATGATTCGACATGTTTTGCTAGATGAAATCGATAGTTCGTACCACTTGAACTGTTTCGATCGGTTTTTACCCCCATTTTTTCGACGTTACTCAGTATATTAATGCTTACCATCGGTCTAAGATAAATAAAGGTTAACGGTAAATGTTGACAATGTCGCTTCTAACCTTATTGGCTCGAATGATTGACTTATATCCCCTATTTATTTCTCTCTTTTTTCCTTATCGACCCTCCGTCGTTGTTTCAGCGATATACCCTCTTTCTTTCTCGTTGCTCTTTCCGAAGAAGAGAGTCTCGAAAAGCGTCTCAACAATGTAGACTCGACGACGAGTTGAATCGTTTAATCCAGTTTGGTCTAATTTAGCTTGACAAGGGTGGGTTATTAGCAAAGCACTCGCGTGTCCTCTTATGAAAACGCGCGTTGATTGCTCGTTTCTTTCGTTCAACTCGGCTGTGGGAAGTACACGATGTTCGAAAAATTCCACGAATCCTTCACCCACTTTTTTCCATTTCGATTACGTTCGTATCAGATTCTTACGTACACGTAGGAATTCGAAAAATCTAGGGTACTATTGTACACGAAAAATATAACGATCAGAGCTTCCGAAAAATGTCGAAGTCACGGTGTTTCGAAATTTCAAAGCCTCTAATATATCCGCAATCGTAACTTATCATAGAAGATGGTGGGGATAGTATGGGAGCACGACAATGAGTACTGCAAATCATTCGGCACTCGTCGCATCCGACGATTCACGATTTATGCAATTTAACAGGCAGACACTCTGGAAGAACGACCTTCCCCGTAACGAACAGAGTTGGCCTCGCTCCTGGAACTTCTTAGTTTTTTTCCCTCCTGCTGTTCTAGGAGAGGTCTACGTCGCTTGGAGTGCGCAGCCGACGTAACCGGTTTCGTAGCCGGACACTGAGACTGTCGGAGGCTTTGAAAATAACCGCGACCGATCCTCAACGGTAACCTTCGACCCGTTCAACCGTACCGAAACAAGCGTGGAACGCGATTCGAGTTCGTTTCGAATACCGATCTTGTATACATATATCTCCCCATCGAAATAGCAATCGTTACACGACCATTGCACTTTATACTAGATTAGTCGACGTATTCTATGCATGATTCCTTTTTTCTCACGAATATTTCTCACGAACGGACGTTAGGATGAAAGGTTTTCCTTGTCCAGATGTTTTTGTTACCGTTTCGTTGCTAGTTCGAGTTTCCGCATTTAGACGGTCAGTTCTCGTAACAAACAGGTACACTATCGCTGCTACGTATACGGAAGGAGGAAAAACAACGATGAAATCGAAACATAATTCATCGGATGCTGTTTCGAAAATGGAAATGTAGACTAAGAAAACGTATGTGATTCAAATAGAAATCATTAACTATGAACTACGTCGCGGAACAATCGCCCCGCAGTTTCCCGTCGTTCGAAAGGTCTTAAAGATTTTTAGATACATCCGAGAAACGTGATCTCGCGTGAAGATCATTCTGAATTTGGCGGCAATTAATCTAACGTTTGACGAACGATGCAGTGTAAGAGCAAGATATTTCAAAGTACTATCTTCTGCTTTCTAAACGCGCCTCTCTTGTTCCGTGATCTCGACTTACTTTCGACTTACGCTCGTTTACTAGTAACGTAGCGTGAGTACGGTTCGATCAGATTTCACGAGGAAACCAGTTAACATTGACAAGATAAAATAACTAAGGAACGCTCACATTTTTTCAAGTTCCCGACTTGGTCCACGTGGCCTTCGTTAATAGTCTCGCATGCACGAGGGGTAGAACAGCTATCCCCCACGATGTCTTCGAATTTTCAAAAGTGTTTCGTATGTTTGCCTCTACGAGTAGTCACTCTATGAATAACGAGTCGAGTACGCACGATCCAGAACATCGAAAAAAATAAAATCGCCGACACTTTTGCGTGCTTCTTTTTGACAGGAAAAGTAACGGGTTATCATCAGCCGTATTTCTCTCGACGAATCTCTCTGGGAAAACAAGTTTCACTGCAGCGCATCCTCTCGACACGTTACGATATTGCACGTAAACAACGACGACACAATTTTCGCACCGAATATTTTATTTTTCTTCAAGATCGTCTCGAGAGGAATACGCACGACACTCGTGTACGCTCTCTTCGAGTTCAACCGCTTCTCTGAGTTCCGCGGTAACAAACCGAATGACCTTATCGCCTTACGCATACTGACAATCGTATCGGCCGACTTACCAAGCGCAACCGTCGCCGATAATCTCGACCGTACCGCCATCTATCGTCGTCGCGTTTCTTCGCGCATATTTTTTTACGAGAGAAACCTAAATTCCCTAGACGTTACGTTTCCGCGATTTTTGAAAGTCATCTTGAAATCGCGATCTCGATTAATATTCTCCTAATTATCGGGTTACCGTCCAACTAACCTCGGCTTAGGTGGACTAGGAAGTGAACGCCTATATTTTTATTAGTTAAGAATTCGATAGGGTAATAAGTATATATTTTATAACCACGGTACGCCTACGTACAATTTAAAAAGGTGATAACGTTTGTTTACGAGATCTACAACTTTGTTACGACTGTCAATCGCGTCGTAAATAACGCATTACGTCTATAAATCATCGGAAAATGACGGATGGCAAGAACCTAGGGAGAGCGTAACGCTGCAGTAGCTCCACCAGCAGTAACAGAACCACTATCGTTGCTCTACTAGCAGCTCCGTCATCGGTAGAGAGCGAAAGAACGAGGTCTTCCGTTCCGGCATAATAGTCGTGCGAGTTGGCAGACGCGCGACCGTGTGCTATAGTTTCGTGATTTTTTATATCATTCCCAGGACAAATTTTTGCAAGGATTTTGCAAACGTACATTTTGTGCTGTGATCTATCTCCGCATTTCAAGGATGAATGAAGAATACGACGCGATCGTCTTGGGTACCGGGCTCAAGGAATGCATACTTTCGGGTATGCTATCGGTCAGTGGAAAGAAAGTACTCCACGTAGATCGTAACAAGTATTATGGTGGTGAATCTGCCTCGATCACGCCCTTGGAAGATCTATTCGCGTGAGTACCTTCGGGCAGCGACTCTCGACCAATTCCTTTCTACGCCAAATAGTTATTTACCAGCATAGCTCGATGTTCATATAATCGATTAATCGTGTCACTGTGATACGGTATCTCGACTTGTCTTAAATATTGATTTTTTCTCAGTTTTTTCTTTTGCTTGGGGATGCTCGTTGATCATCGTAGCGTGTTCGAGCTCTCTCGTCGAGAGTATGGTAGGATTATGGTATATTGTGACGTACATCGCGGAGAACGACAAGCTTCCCTAGAGAAAATGACGACGTAGGAGAGCGAGACTCTACCGCTCGTGTGTAAACGTCTATTTGGAAAAATTTTATTCGACATTTATTTTCTTATTAATTTCTTTCAAAAGATATTGTAATATCTAATAATTAAATATTATGCTAACCTTTCCCAGATTAATCTGAATGTTGCAAAAAATAGTCTAAGAAAAATTATGTTTTCGAAACGATCGATATTGAAATATCAGCAGGATTCTTAGTCGAATAAAAAGTTCGTGCAAAGTAAGCATTTTGCGTGCTAACTTTGGAATGTTATAAAGTGACGGGAGTATGTATCTTTCCCTACATCGATACATATTTTCCCTAGGGAAGCCAACCATGCTTGATGCTGTACATCAGCTGCAGTAACGTACTGTTGTTTTGTGCGATCGCTTCCGAACTTTCATACGTTTCGAAATGATTTTATCGGACGGTTGGTTAGAATGCCGCTCTACAAAGCGAATTCGATGAATTTAAACAGTACGTTACGTTGTTTCTGTCCAGAATCATTTTCTACTTCCCCTTCTTTTCACCGACCTTCCCGTACACGATTTATGTATATCCGCTTAACCGTTTACAATATGTGAATAACGTATGACAAGGCTAGATTAATCCATTTTGCACATAAAAATTTGCTAGGAGAAAATATTTAGTAATCGAATGTATTCAATTAAGAGTATCGAAACCTAATTTGACTTTCCGTGAAATCGAACATATGTTTCTTTATCCAAGCAAATTCGGAACAATTGATGTATTGAAATTACGGACATATCATATGAATGTCATAAGATGATAGAAACTTCAGCGAAATTTTTTTATTTCGGATTACAAAGTAACGAAATATATTTTTGAGTTAATCGAAGCCTCTTTTTATTGCAATTTATAAATTTCTGTTGTTTCTAATGGATTCTAATGCAATAAAAATACATTGCAAATAAAATAATGGGACAACGGATCTTCAATCCTGTTCATCAAATGAAAACGATAACGCGTCAGTGATTGCGCTTCTGGTTCATCGAGGAGACTGTTATCATGTGTCTGGCACCACTTAATAAATTGTTACATGTATATAAACTATATATGTGTCTGTTGTAACGATTTGGTTTGACAGTGTTAGCTACAATGTAAAAATAGAGAATAAAATATTATTTCATCGTCATAAATACGTACTAGATATTTATTCATTTTTTTTCAATTCGAAAGTATGGATCAAAATGTTATCAAATATTTAACTAGAGTATACATTTCATTGTTTAACTAGCAGTTTGTCATCATTTTCTTACACGATATTTTTATCCCTCTGTTTGCTTTATACAGTAGTTAAAAAAATCAATGAGCGCCACTTTGACGGACTGTAAACGCGTAAGCACCAAAGCACCACTGTTATATTTAAAATTCAGCATGTTAACTGTACCATGATAGAAAGTGAATAAGAATCAACGATGCCGTTTTTAAAAGTAACTGTGAAAAAAATTGAAACATTAATCGTTATGAAACGAAAAAAAACGCATTAATTTATATTTATAACGAAAAATAACAAGATGATAAAGTATTCCGATTATTAATTTTAGATTCATGTGTTATCAGGAAATTCAAAGCCCCGCCACCGGATGAAAGTTACGGTCGTGGTCGAGACTGGAACGTTGATTTGATACCCAAGTTCCTGATGGCGAACGGTTTACTGGTGAAGCTGTTGATCCACACGGGTGTAACTAGATATCTAGAATTCAAATGTGTCGAAGGATCGTACGTTTATAAGTCAGGAAAGATCTCAAAGGTGCCGATCGATCAACAGGAAGCCTTGTCCAGCGATCTGATGGGCCTTTTCGAAAAAAGGCGCTTCCGCAGTTTCCTTATATGGGTGCAGAATATGCAGGAAGACGACCCCAAGACTTGGGACGGCTTCGATCCATTTAATAATAATATGAGCGCTTTGTACAATAAGTTTAATCTCGATAAAAATACTCAGGATTTCACTGGACACGCATTAGCACTTTATAGGTACAAATTATTTTTGTAGTCTCGCTATATGGCCCGTAGTCATATTAGCGATTTTTCCTCGTTGTTCTAACGTGCTAAGGTTTATGCGAATATGTTATTGTTATAGGGACGATGACTATATAAGCCAAAGCGCAATTACTACTATAAGAAGGATTAAATTGTATAGTGATAGTTTAGCGCGTTACGGGAAATCGCCGTATCTCTATCCTATGTATGGTTTAGGTGAACTTCCTCAAGGTTTTGCACGGCTTAGCGCCATTTACGGTGGGACGTACATGTTGGATAAGCCAATCGACGAAATCGTGATAAAAGATGGAAAGGTAGTCTTCAAATATTTATGTAATCGTATATATTAGTTGACTATGAAATTTGGAATTAGTAATTGATGTTTATTCTAGGTCGTTGGTGTACGTTCTGGCGATGAAGTAGCTCAATGCAAACAAGTATTTTGTGATCCCACATATGTACCTGATCGCGTAAAAAAAGGAGGTCAGGTCATAAGATGCATTTGCCTCTTAGACCATCCTATAGCAAATACAGGAGATGCTCTTTCGACACAAATTATTATTCCTCAAAAACAAGTAAGCAGATTCGGCCTTCGTTTGCATCTAATAAAGAGAGTACGGTACAACGTATATTGTTTTTCTAGGTTAATCGTAATTCCGATATCTACGTATCGTTAGTATCTCATACTCATCAAGTGGCGGCAAAAGGATGGTTCATAGCCATGGTGTCTACTACCGTTGAAACGAAGAATCCTGAGGCTGAGATCAAACCTGGTTTGGATCTTCTTGGACCCATCAGACAAAAGTTCATATCAGTCTCCGATTATATGGAACCGACCGATAATGGTCTGGACAGTCAAATATTCATATCAACGAGTTACGACGCGACAACGCACTTTGAAACTACTTGCTTAGATGTATTGGATATATTTAAACGAGCTACCGGAGAAGAATTCGATTTTAACAAAGTTAAGAAAGACCTAGGCGATGAAGATCAGTAACCGTAAAACGGTTACGATTATTGGTCATTTTCGCAACTAGTTCATCCTGAATTTAAAAGAAATACGGAACACAAGTGAGCAATGTAATTCAATGCGTAAATCGACTACGTCGGTATTTATCTCTTCGAGTCTCGAAGCAGATGCGATCTGTTAATAGACTCATGCCTAATAAGATTAGATTCTCTCGAACAGAGAATAATCACAGAACATTACGCAAAATTTATTTTTCAAATTTGTCTCCATCTTGTTCTACCAACTGCCCTTTTTTACATTTTTGTCCTGGAGTACGCGTGTACACAAATTTTCACGAAAATTGATATTAGAACTTGTACCATTCGTCGTCTGAATATTTTTGATCAATTTTGAACGAATCACAGAAAAATACAATTTGAGTGTATCTATTAATCAACAGCGAAGATTACCGCGACTTTATAAATGTATTATATTTTAACTATAATTATTAAAGAAAAATAATAAAGCAAATTGTTTATTCGGAATGTAAAAGTTACACAGTCTTGTAGTCCTTATTGCTATTCGCAGTAGTTAAAAAAGTTCCGCGTAACGACACGAGGTACAAGATAAAGATAATTTAAGAAAGTGAATTCTACATGCAGACATATAAATAGCATGCCGCGGTTTAGCACTAGAAGATACTGCACATTTAGTTACAATATTTGACATTTTAAAAATGTATGTTTAAAGAAATGCAAAATAAATGTGTATAAATTATACTATTTGAAAAAAAGTAATCACCTGTAATAAGAAAACATAACAGGACACAATTTTATGTCGAACTATTAGAAATGAAAAATTGAAAAGCGGCCAAGCATTTAAATATAAATTAAATAGATATATTATATATGTATAAATATACTTTCTCATTCTGAAATATAAAAGAATGGGAACATAGAAAAGATGAAGTCGTTGAAACGTTGTTATTTTATGTAAACTTGAGAATCAGAATATTTCCTTGTCTAATATTTATAACGTGGTCATATCCAATGAAGAAGCCATAATTAAGAAAATCTGGAAAAAGACAAGTATGCACAGATGCGTATTATTTTTTAAATTGCTATACGTGTGCATTTAATTATGCGTGAATGTTTTGTTAACGAATGATCGGCTATTTCTAGCAATTTTTATTTCGCTTGCATTTTCGCTTAAAGTCATAAATGCATTTGTATTCCATATAAAAAAAGTACACGTTCTCTATTATTTTCTCTAAAGCATTATTCATATAATTGTAATGTCACAGTCGTAAAAAAATAAATAATATTATATTAATTTCCATTGCTTTGTTTGTCTATCTTTCCACAACAATATCAACGCGTAAATCTTATCTTAAATTAGATATGTTCACATGAAATAATGAGTAAGCACACATACCAATGATGTTTTACACAAGTTTCAGGATGTAAACATTATTATCTCTGCATCCAATAATCGCAATGTCATTATCAATAACAGGCGATGAGAAAACTTCTCCAGGAAGTTTTTCACTTTTTATCAGTCTGTTTGTTGCAAAGTCATAAATATTTAATGTACCATCTGTACACGCTACGAATAGGAAGTTGTTCTCGCACCAGGGAGTGGCAAAAATTGACGAATGAAAATTTAGCGTATGTTTCAACATAGGTTCAGTTCGAAAATCTAAACCTTTTGACTGTAGGTAATAGATATTTTTATTTTGACTAGCTATAATGATGTTTTCATGATCTGCATCATTATGATGCTTCACAATGTATGAAAATACATTGCCATTAATTTTATATTCCCACATCTGTAATGTTAAGGAATGAATATAAACAAGAAACGATTGTTTTGTAATATCAAAAGTATATCAAATACCTTAACATTAAGTTGGATATCGAAACAGTATAATGCTCCTGTTACAGAACAAAATAGGACGAGTCCGCTATTTAGCGTCAAAGGCGCGACAAAAATGGGATCCGCCAATTTATGTTTCCATATGATTTTTCCTGACTTTTGTTGCAGTGCTAAACAAGATCCATCCAAAGTTCCAAATAATACTGAATCTGATGGTAAATGTAAACATCCTGAAGCGCTAACACTTCCATTACTGCCTTTTACTTTCCAAATTTCACCTCCATCCTAAATATAATTTAGCTTTAATAAAAAAATTTAAATATAAAAAAGCGAACAATGTATTTATGTATACTTTTGTGAATAAACAATACACGTAACAATCGTAGGAGCCAACAAATAATCGGTCTTGATTTTTGCTAAATATTGCAGTACATTTTACAGCATTTCCTGTTTGATATTTCCAAATAATTTCTCCTGTTTTTAAATGTACGCAATATATATTGCCATCATAACATCCTAACAAAAGAGAGAATTAAGTACCTGGAAATAAAGCACAGAATATTAGGAAACTTACCTACAACACCTTTAAAATTGTTTAAAACTAAAACTGAAGCTTCGATTCTGTCGGGTAATCTTATTTTAAATGCAGAAGTGTAACTATGATTTTCCAATTGTATTGTAACAATAAAACCAGAGTGAGAACCAACCACTGCGTATTTTTTTCCGCTACAGAAAAAATTATTTAAGCCACGGTTTCCGTTTAACACAATTCATTAAATACTTACTCTGCATACTGAACTAAAGTTGGTGATGCATCTACACATTTGTGTAAATCGTATGTTTTCAAAATTTCAATTTTTGAAACTTTATTACATCGTAATCGATATATTTCGTTTGTAATTGGTATGTTTTTATATGTTTCTCCTTTACACTTGTACCACTGACATGTACACAACTGATCTGATGTGTTCAGTATGTTAAGGTCTTGTTGTTCAACATTCGAACACTTTGGTATGTCTGGAGCAATACGTTCAATTAAAGGTATTATTTGACTATCACTGGAATTACATATTGCGTTATCAGTTGTTGTATTTTCACGATTATTTAATATTATAGTTTTTATGTATTTAAGACATTCGTGAACGGTGGCGTCTTTTAAAAGCATGCCTATCAATTCAGGAAATTCCATGTGGGATGCTTCAGATACAATACTTGATAATTGCAATGCTATAATAGATGAACCTCCCAATTTGACAAATCCATCATCTTCACGTTTTAAATTATCGTTCCAAAAAGATTTGACAATGTTTTCGATCTTTTGAAAATCAATATTATCTTGGATTTGATCTATTGTCTGTTCTTGTAAACAATGCTGTTTTAAAAAATCCATAGAAATTTTTCCATTAGAAGTAAATTCAACATGTTCTAACAAGTGAATTTTATCTGGCCTATATAGAGAGTTTAATTTTTGTAAATGTTCAATCACTTCAGTATTTATGTTAGGATAATTTGTAATCTTTTCCTTCAAGATTAGACATAAATGTAATTTATAGCATTTCTCATCCCAAATAACATAACAACTCTTAATAGAATTTAGTTCCAACATAAGTTTCTCAAGTTTAATTAAATCCACTTTGTTTCCAAATCTTTTTATGACACTATTTCTTCTTCCTTTATAAAACATATTACCTTTTTTATCAATCTAAAACAAGAATACGTGTAACTAGATAAAATGTATATTATTTTCATTTAAGCTTTAATTCACTTACACTAACTACATCGCCAGAATCGCGAAATACTGGTAGCTCTAGATCTTCAACATTTTCTTCATTTATTGTACACACTCTTGTATTACTTCCTACTCAAAATGCGAAAAATTTAGATGAATACAGATATATTTAGAATTTTATTCTTATATTACCTATGTACAGAAAACCTGTGCCCTCTGTTAATATTTCTCCTTCCTCATTCTTTACTTGGAATATAGTTTCTGATAATACTTCTCCTAAGCATTGCATGTTATCCTGTACATTTCTCAGTGTAATTTCGTTTATACTAGCCCAACATGATAATTCAGTAATACCATAGATATTGTAAACTTTTGTATTATTGTATGGGTGTTTTGATTCCAGAAGAAACTCTACTTTAGGATGAGGTTCTCCACCAAAAAGAATAGTTCTTAATGAAGTATCACTACTTAAAACAGTAGTTTTCAAACATTCAGTTGACCAATTATATGTAAAAACTGATGGGGTTATTTGAAGTATGGTAATTTGACTAGAATATGCTTCTTTTATGAGTCTGAAAATAATATATATATAAACAAATTGTTGTTCAAATAATATCTTATTCACATTCTATTGCTATTTACCTATTTGGATCATTTTTTAATGATTTTGAAGGCATAAACAATGTCCCACCATTTGAGATGGCAAGAAAGATTTCTATAATACTAGGATCAAATGTCAAATTTGTAAACTGTGCAATTTTATCACATTCTGTAATTGCTAATATCTTGGTTAAATCTAAAATATTGGGAATTATACAAGAATGTGGCACTCTAATTACTTTTGATATTCCTGTTGTACCAGAAGTACAAATTGCATAAGCATAATTCCCTCTTTTTGCATTCTGTACAACCTGTTTTTGGACATGTTTCAACTTTACAAGATAGATATATTCATTGTAAACTTTAAATTGGTGCACAATGCATCCTTCAGCAATTAAATGTTTACAAAACAAGTAATGTATATGTAACAAATCTTTTAAATTGACAAATTCTGTTTCATTCAAAGGTATGTTCACAAAACCATGATTACTGGTTGAAATTCTAAAAGAAAAAAATAGAAATGATAAAATTTTAGCTATTATATGTATATCTTAGATATCCTATAAGACTTAAATGTTTACCCAAGCATCAAACACACTACACAATATTCAGGAATATCAAAATTTATACCAATGAATTCAAAATTTTGCATTTGTTTCAAATAATCAGAAATAATATTAGTTGCAGTAAACAGGTCTTGATAACTTATGTAAATGGTATTTTGCAAATCATGATACTCTATAGCTATATTGATAGGTTGATCCCAATTACAGATTTCATGTAGCATTTTACATCATCTGAAATAAATGATAAATTTATAATATAAGTTATTATAATCATAGTCATTTATGTAAGCTTTAATGTATGTATCTACACTTACTCGTTATATGTAAATTAAACTGTTTTGATATTTATTTTTCTTTCGCAACATCTCATAAAAACATAACCTCCAGTATAGGTTATGTTTTTCGAAGTGTTCAATACAACAGTATTTTTCAGAGATATGCTATAAATGTTCATTACAGTACCTAATTAAATTCAATTTTGCATTACAGTCTACGGGGATATGGTTTTTCGGTAATTATTTCTCCGTGGCATGCGCGGGCGGCGCGCAGGAGGAATATATACGATAATGAGTATGCAAAATCGTTAATTACCCACTTTCTGAGCACAGTCTATGAACTTTTATGATTAAAGAATGGTCAGTAATGCATTATTTACATGGTTCGATCATAAAATTGCATAAATAATGTTCGGGTAATGAGTAATTAATTATTTTGTGTCAGTATTACGATACGTACATGAGCGGCCAATGTGAATTCTACTGCGGATGCAAAATGCAATATTTCGGCACTTTGACGACGTAGTATGGTTCATGAGGCATTTAGAAACAAATTTCTATTAGGGTTTAATGCGTTTTGATTAATTATAGCTGGCTAGGACCATTATTAAAGAAAATAGAAAAATAGCCCATTTCATGGACTAAAAAATTGCCGTCCATCTAGCGGTGAAAGTTGGAACTACAAAAATAGAAAATCTCGATTTTCTCGAAAACTAGGGACTTTTTAGAAATTCTGAGATATACAAATTCTTCCTTGTCGCCTACGGAATCGAACGAATCTAATTATAGCTGGCTAGGACCATTATTAAAGAAAATAGAAAAATAGCCCATTTCATGGACTAAAAAATTGCCGTCCATCTAGCGGTGAAAGTTGGAACTACAAAAATAGAAAAATGCGATTTTCCCGAAAATTAGCGAACATTGAGTACTTCTGAGGGTCAGAAAGTGTTATGTGATCGCATCAGAAGCAAAATAATGCAATAAAAGCTTCCTAAAGGCTGACCATTATTAAAGAA